GGTGATCATCATTATCAGGGCGTGGCTAATGCTGCAAATCTTTTCCTTATTCAGTTCGTTGCGATGCGGACTGAACAGTAGGTTTTGTTATTAGCTACAACTTTTGCCCATAACTCAATTCTTTATCTCTTCATGCATTCACTGAAAAAAAGGAGTGGCTTCTGTTCGCTCTGGTACGTCATGCATAAGAGATACGGATTTGAGTTAAGGGCAAAAGCTGTAGCTAATAACAAAACCTACTAAAGCTCAATACAACATTTTGCGGAATGCTGTTGATGAAAAAAGTTAGAGGCAAATGAATGTAAATGATTTTCCATGCCTGGCTCTGAGAACAAAAACGTACTGAACTTCGGGAAAGTTTTAACAGCCTTCATATTCGGTTTCAACGGTCTCAGGGCTTTCCATAAATTTCAGGAAAAGTTTGGGAGAATTGCAGGAACTTATCAGAAGTTTAAAGATTTTAAATGACTTCAATTGAGTTTAAAGATTTGAAGGGAAGTTACGTGAACTTTGTGGCTGTTCGGAGACCTTCAAAATAGTTCCATGGAAAACAGGCAAATTTTAAGAACTTCAGGAAAGTTCTGAGAGCTTCAAATAAATTTCGAGAATTTTAAGGCAGTTAAAATTATAAAAATCAAGAATTTTGCCTGGAACTGCTAATAAATTAAGGGCCATGCTAAAGTTTCAAAGCTCATAAATGAATGAATATTTTATGAGAATATCTTAGGATCGCTAAGAATAATTTCAAGTGAAGTCAGAGGAAAATATCAAAGGAATATTTTTTTTAGGAAAGTGAAATTAGTTCTGAGGAACTCCGGACTTATTAGAATTCCAAGGAAATAGGGGAAATGGATGTAACGTCGGCCTAAATGTCCCTAATATGGGCCCATACATAAATTCAGCACTCGACAAAATTTTCAATAGCGACCAAAAATATCCATTAGTAACGTCCCAATTACGCGTTTATCTATAAAAAATTTATAAATAGCAGATTTTTAGCGGTGGGCCCAATCTTAAATCGATAGGCCAACATTAGAGCCATTTCCCATACTTAGTAGGATTCAAAGTAAATTTATAAGAGAATTCTGCGAAGCATTTCAAGGCAATTGCAAAAATAATTCCAATAGAGTGCTGACTTAAACTACAGAGTAATTTAGAGGAGACTTTTCTAAGGGATTTGAATTGGAAGCAGAATTCCATGTAAAGAAGGAAAATCAAGAGGAAATTTTTAAAAGTATTCAATGAAAATTCTGATGATAATTTCAAAATTAGGAGTATTTCAAGGAAGTTTTGAGGAAAGTTTCAAGGAAATTTTCTACAAAGTTTTGAGGTAAATTTCAAAGGAATACTATGGAGAGTTTCATGGTTGTTCCTGTTATCATCTTTAGAGTACTCAAAAGAGAGTTCCAAGGAATTCACGGAACCACTCCAAGAGAATTCAGTGCATAATATAGAGGGAATTTCGAAAATTAAAAATTTTCAGGATAATTCTTTGCAAAATTCCTGAGAATTGTTAAGATTTTCTTGAGAATTTCAGGGTGAATCAAAGAGCGCTCTGTAGAGAATTTCTGAGTATTATGGAGCAAATTGTAAGGGGATACCTAAGATGAACTCTGAGGAAGCTTTTAGTTGTTTATAGGGAAAATCTTGAGACAATTCTAAAGAAATCCTGCATAGGGACATAGGTTGATTCAAACACGGAAAGCTTATCGAGATCACAGAAGGAAAACTAAATTCTGAGACCTTGAAGTTTTTTTTTTAATTTAATATCTTATGCTTGGAAAAGTTCTCTTCATTCTGGATTCAAAAAAATCTTCAAGATTAGACCGGTCACAATGCTGTTGTATTTTATATGGACTGTTTCAATTTGAAACTAGAAGAGAAACACATCCCTCGCAATGCTGAGTTGCAGTTTCATTATTCGAGCACTAGTTTGCACCATATTTGCAACTGCTCGACTATTCTGTTTTATTTATGAGCGGAATGGAATGGAACACTTTTTCACATTTCTATGAATGTATTTGTAAAGCTTCTAATCTGACAGAAGGCAGACGGACAGGGAAAATAGTATTTTGGTCCGATTCCGACTGAATCGTCCTACACAGCGCTGGTCATTCGTTACAGCTAATTGTTTTGAAAAAGTAAGAAGTTGTATCCAAGACACGACCGTAGATTTGACGTAGGATTACGTGCTCGGTATCAATATTTGGCGACTGTGTTAGGGAAACCACTTTTTGCATGCAATCGGTGATAATTTTGATCACAATTGTAACAGTTGGACATTTGTGTATTTTTCAATAGTGACCTATTGAAATTTGATAAGGTATTCATTTTATCAGATTTGTAGAAAAATTTCCAATCTATTGGCTTGTTTAGAATTAAAATCCATCTGCTATTGACAGAGTTATAATTGGTCAAAACCTGACCACTTTTCGTAACGCGGTCGATTTTGGTTTTTTGAAATTGCACCCCCAATATGTTGCCGAAAGACGTAATCCTACGTCAAAAAAATGAGTTTTTCATAGTTTCCAATTTCTCAGAAATTAATTTTTCAATACCATTTACATTTCGGCCAATATCTGCCATCCCGCTCTTTAACGCTATGTTCATCTGAGCAGCAATGTGATCTCGCATACCAGTGATCGAGTCCGGGAGTGGAAATACATTCTTCATCTCTACCTCTATCCTTTTGACGCACGAGCTTAGATCACTCTGTTCGTCACAACGCGGATCTGAAAGACAATTATCACACTTGAACAGAACATTTGCATTGCTCGTGATAAGCTTTGCCTGAGTTCGTGTAAAGATAAGTCGGAACGTTGCCATTACGTGGCGCTAGCATCTTCTGATTTCCTCTATAAATTTTCCACTTTCTACCAATTTGGCGCTAGTATCGATAAATTTTCTGTTGTGTAAGTTGTCCCTATTGTAAGTTGCGCAACGCCAGTGCCATTATGTTATCAAAGATGGTTTTTAAGTGGAGAAGTCGGCGTTGGTGGCACTTAAGTCGAATAGGATTCTTTACACTAGTTTCAAAGGATATTTCGTTCGAGCCTCAACTACTGTTCTCTGTGAGTGTAGTGCATTTGCAATGAAATACACGAGCACACTTACCCACACAGAGAACCGGTAAATCACTCACCACACCGTCATATCATAGAGGTAACTCTAAGACCACTGGGTCCCGAAGAAAATCATTATTATTTTTGGCTCACTCAGTACCAGAACAACGGTCCCAAGCAGTCCCAAGCTATTTCACTCACCCCACATTTTCTGCATGAATCCACACACCCCTGATGTTATCTGTCAAACTTTCATAGCGAATCAAAACAAACATAGTGTAGTAATAGAATTTCAACTAGAATAGGGTACGTTAATCGTTTGCTTGGGACCAATAGGCTACTAAAGTGGTGAGCCAATTTAAAATCGTTAGTTTCGTATTGATTGTTGGTCATATCGCATACTCCCACCTCTGTTTACCCAATACACATAAACGGAGACGCTATTTGAAACTACTACTACAGAGGGACAAGTAAAATAAATAATCAAATGTACAATGCCCCAGCTAAAGCTTTACAGTAAAAACACCGGTTGGAAACTAACGATTTAAAATTGGCTCACTACTGGACTAGCCTATTGGTCTCAAGCAAATCGATTAACGTATCCCATTCTAGTCGAAATTCTAGTACTACACTATGTTTGTTTTGATTCGCTATGAAAGTTTGACAGATAAAATAAGGGGTTCGTTGATTTCCTATGTTTCGAGGGGTGCATCGATTAGCTTGGGACCGAAGAGAGTACCAGAGCTGAGCCAAAAAGTTGAGCACGTTTCTTCGGGACCTTCTAGTTTTAGAGTTACCTCTATGGCCTTACTGTTCTAACAAATATACTTGTTGGTTGGTTGGTTGACATTCTCCATTTAGAAGGTTAAGGAGCCAGTTTTTGCCCCAACAGGTTCCCTAATTGGTCTTATCTTAATTTTCAGTATTTGTCATCCTTTACCAAATTTATTTCCATACACGGCTAGAACACACATTTTGTCACTATGTCTAAGCTTCTCGATTTGAGGTCATGTTCGTGCCACCCCTTGCCCATAAGCCTGGAACCGCCCGTGTGGAGGGCTGAGTGATTAATCATCAGCCAAATTAAAAGTGGAATTGCTGCAAATTTTCTCCATGTGGGAACACATGATCCACGCTGCTAATTTTCAACGATTGAGCAAATTTGTATTGTTTACTTCGCTTTTTAACTAACTCGTGGTACGTACGTGTACGAACAAACGCACGCCATGATGGTCTGCTCGTCTCGGGAATTATTCAATCGCAGTAGGCGATGAAAATAAACAAGCTGTGTGATGGATGCGGCGAAAAGTCGGTTTATGGGTAATAGTAAAAATAAGCTCTGCTGATGGTCCATCATATGGGTAGCCAACTGCGAGCAAGTGCGAAAGGTAAACCGAGATGAGGTAAACCTCGGAGGGGCTTTGTTTCACTAATTTTTGAGCAACCGTCCATTTCTGAAGAAGCAATCAGGGGATCGATCGAAATGTTCAATCAGAGCAAATCTCGTGACTGACTGGACCCAATCGGAGTAACCATCCAAGCACAATCTACGACGCCGCCGTAATATAATGTAAATCCGAAATAAAGTCGCTCTGTTGTGTTAGAAAATAATAATTAACCCATCATCCGAAATAGGCTTGTGTTTCTCATGCACCGATGTTCTACCGGAGACCCGAAACAATCTTTTGTCGACCGCTACGCTTAATTATTACTGCAAATCTAGAGGCCACCACTTAAGTGCTATTTAATGAAAATACGTGGAATCCAGTCGGGTGTACTATATATGCAGCATACAGAGCAAGGCCACCCTTCTTCACCGTCAAAAGACCCAGTGGCGCATGTTTCAACTTCGAAAACATCTCAGTGGGGTGTTTGTCTTTCATCTCAGATCGATCGCGCCCTCATCCATTGGTTAATCTTTTTTTTTCGTAACTACAGATCTAAGGGCTTTGTCAACATGTACGGTAAATTGACGTGCCTTGTGGCACTGGCTGGCTTTTGGCTGGCACATTCAGTGGACTATGCTCCACCGAAGATGGAAACGGTCAAGCAGTGGAGCTTCCTGTCGTACAATTTTCCATGGGACTATCCGGCCAACAATAAGGATTTTTACAACGCAGAAAACATAGTCGCCACCGGTATCGAAGTAGGCTACGATCGGATCTTCATTGCAACGCCGCGGTTATTTAATGGCGTGTCGGCAACGCTGTCTTCGATCCCACGTGGTACGCAAGGTGATTCACCTGTGCTGCAAGCCTACCCGGATTGGAATCATCACACCGCCGGTACCAGACAGTACAACTGTTCCGACATTGGTCTGGTTTCGGTTTACCGAATCCGAATCGACTCTTGCAACCGACTGTGGGCTCTCGATGCTGGCGTTTCTCGATCTCTGGAAGATTTTGAAGTGACCTGCCCACCGAAGATCCTGGTCTATGATTTGCACACCGATCAAGTTGTACGGAGAATCGATTTTCCTCCGGAGGTCGTCCGACGAGAATCGTTGTACACCAACATCATCGTGGATGAGACCACGTCCAGACCGGAGAATAACTGCGACGATGTATTTGTCTACATAACTGATACTGTGGCGCCAGGTTTGTCAAAATCCCTACTTCATTGAAGCATGTTTTACACTCATGAAATTCTCCCCAGGAATTGTCGTCTACGACAGCGAAAAGGACCTTACATGGCGCGTTAGCCACCCGGCTATGTACCCTGATCCAGACTTTGCCGAATCAACCATCTTGGAGCATCGGTTCACCCTCATGGATGGCGTCGTCGGCATTGCTTTCGATCAGGAAGCAGGAATCGTGTATTTCCAACCTTTGGCTACCGACAGGTCCGTATCTCAGATCTACCGTTTGAAACGTCGTTGTATCACTCTATTGTTATCTCGTTCCTAGATTGTTTTCCGTTGAAACATCGGCTCTTCGCTCCGGCCCACTACCGTTCGGAAAGGAACTCCCGGTAAAATTGGTCGGCCGCAAATCCTCCCAGGGAATTGGCCTAGCTGTATCGCCCCGAGGAGGTACCATATTCTACGCACCTTTCACGGAAACTGCCGTCGCCTTGTGGAATCCTCGTACCAACGATCACCAGTGAGCATTTAACCTTTAAAATTCGCAAACAACAAACCGTCAATCTTTTCACCCTTCAGGATTGTCGCCCAGGATCAGGAACGTCTGCAGTTCGCAGCCGATCTTCGAACGCCCGCTCGGGATGGTAACGCCCTCTACATCCTGTCCTCCAAATTCCATCGATTCTTCCTGAAGAACGTAGATGCCAACGAGTTCAACACCCGTATTATGCGAATCGACGGAGTTGTCACTCCAACCCTCCCCACCGTAACGCCAACTTCTGGCTTTGGACCTTCCGTCGAAAGCAACTCCGCCTACTACAGTCTTCCGGCAGTGACCCCATCTGCGCCTAATTCCTTCAAACCACTCCCACCAACTGTCCCGTTCACCAAATATGCCGCGCAAAATCCAGCCAACCCGAAGACCTATTCATTCATCCAAAACTACTACGTCAACAACAGACAACCGTATGCCTACGAACCGGTCCCCATCATCGACAAAACCAAAACCAACCCCTTCTTTGCCCTGAACAGTGGCGAAAAGCCCTTCCCCGCTACCCAGCAACGACCCCAATACGGTTTGAACGGAGAGATTTTCTTTCCCAAAATTAACCACCACTTCAACGACTTCAATGGACTTCGGTTCGCGAAAAGCTTACGAGCCAACCTTACGGTGACACCGTAATGGCCTTTCCTCGCGACACTCATTTGGTATCTCTTCCGGTCTGTGCGAGAAGAGATGATCCCAAAATGTCTCCTCCGCTATATAGATACAAATCTGTTAAAAGTAATGCACCATTTTTTCTAGCTAGCGATTAGTGCAAGTGTAAATAGTATCACAAAGCTCATTCGACCTTAACATTTGACCACCGGAACCATTTCAACCTGTTGACGTTCGCCCACTCAACTTTTCTGATTGGATATTTATTGTGTATTTTCAGTAAGCGTAAGTATCATCAAACAAATACTCAGTAATTTTAGTGACTCTTGTCATTCGACTTCGCCCGACCTTAAAAGTAGTATGCAGTTACTCGAATCTTTTGTAAAGCCATAGCTCAATGCATTTTCCTTGACTCTCTATTTTCGATTTTTTTTTGTCGTATGTTACATAATATAGAAAAGACTTGATTGACTTCTAGCATTCACAATCATAAGGGCCCAACAGCGATGATCGATTCTCTTCATACATTTTCTCAGTTAGGTAAACGAATTTTTCGAAATGTTTCCACTGAATCGATCGTTGCAGTTAGGCACTTATGATTCTAAGCGCTAGACTTAGTTTACGATGTGAGACGCTAATGACGAAAATGATACTTTAGATCAGTGTAAATAATGAATCAAAATAAATTAAACAAAACATATGAAGGTCTGTATGCATTTTGTGTGAATATGATGACCTTCCTACTATGATTTTATGCTGAAATAAATTTCTGTTCTTTTGTAGCACATTTCGTGGTTCATCCGTGAGGAGTTGTTGAAGGCAACGCTTCGATTGAGCTCTACAAAATGTCAACATGCTTTAGAGCTAGGAATTTTCCATTTAAAATAAAACGGAAACGGGGGTCGGAATGACCCCGTTATAGTCACGAGTTCAAATCTAATTCCCGGACAAGTCAAGAATGACCCAAAAGTGTTAAAGTTGCGTTAATAATTATATAATAAGCAAGTCCACATAATTAATTTATTTTGCCGAGGACGTAAGTTTGTTTGCCGATAATCCAACACCTTGGATTTCATTTAAAATTTCGGTAAAAGTTCCGTTTACCGAGAAATTAGTAATACGGAAATTTTAACGACGCTTTCAATTTTGCAGAATTGATCCGCAAATTTTTTAATTACAATCATTGGGTTCTTTCGAATTTCATTCACATGTTTGTTTTAAACTTTTTACTGTGAAATCTGGAAAACGCCTTAATATATAATACTTGAAAATATAAACATCTTAAAAAACCAATCTGGAAGCGATCTCACAAATGTTCCCTTTATAGTGGAAATCGAGGATGCGGAAAAAGAACAGCTTTGAAGAAAAACAAAAATTGCTTGTCAATCGGAGCACAAGTTGTTCCAAATACATCAAAGCACTGACACAGTATGTCAAATGTCACAACAATGTTACTCTATTTACTCACTCGCATGTTGGCTGATTGGAGCGTATTCGGCAGTCGCTTCTTCTGCCAAGGAACTTCGGTCAGGTTGCTCCGAAAGAGAGTTTAACCAAAGAGAACAGACGTCCAAGTTCGGTCAGAAACTTGTGTAAAGTTAGGTGGAAACGTCGCCGTTACGTAGCGCTAGCATCTCCTGATTTCCTCTATAAATTTATCACTCTGGATCAATTTGGCGCTAGTATCGATAAATTATCTGTTGAAAATTGCCACTTGGCCCTATCAGCACTTAGTCACAGAGAACAGACGTTCAAGTTCGGTCAGAAACTTGTTGTAAAATAAGTGGGAACGTCGCCGTTATGTGGTGTTAGCATCTCCTGATTTTCTCTATAAATTTTCCACTTTCGACCAATTTGGCGCTAATATCGATAAATTTTCTGTTGAAAATTGCCACTTGGCACTTAGCGTCTAGTGTAATTTGTGCAACGCCAGCGCCAGCATGTTGTCAAAGAGGGTTTTTAAGTGGAGAAGTCACCGTTAGTGGCGCTTAAGTCGAATAGGAATCTTTACACAAGTTTTTAGAGAAATTTTGTTAGAGCCTAAACGTCTGTTCTCTGTGGTTTAACCTCACTTTTTATTGAGAGCATTGACGTACGACAAGATACATTAAAATATGGTCATCCTGGAAAATTGTCGTCAACAACAATTTCTTGTCGCACGACAAGATCAAGAGTCCATCCAGACACGACTCTCTACTCTTGTCATGTCACTCATACTGTTCCCTGGATGAATGTCACTATCGGCGACTGCCAATCTGACGTTTTCAAGACTACGTCAGGAATTCGACAAGGTAGTCACCTCGACCCGCTATTATTTTTGTTGTACTTCAACGACGTGAACCTAGTGCTGAAAGCGCCCCGCCTATAATTTGCCGATGATCTAAAGATTTTTTATTGGATCCGCTCAATTGCCGATGCTCTTTTCTTGCAAAATCAACTAAACTGCTTTACCGGATGGTACAAACTGAATCGAATGGTAGTCAACCCAAGTAAATGCTCAGTGATTTCATTCTCACGGAAAAAGCAACCAATTAATTACAAATATACCCTCTCGGAAGCGGAAATCGCACGCGTCAGTCATGTTAAGGATCTTGGAGCTATACTGGATACCCAACTTACCTTCAAGCAACACGTATCGTACATCGTTGATAAAGCATCAAGAACAATGGGCTTCATCATACGCATAGCTAAGAACTTCACCGACGTACCTAAATAGGGGCTGTTCTTACATGTTTTTTTTAATAAAAGAACAGTATTTTAGTCTTGAACGTATTTTTTACTGTGAAATCTGGAAAACGCCTTAATGTATATACTTGAAAATATAAAAATCTTAAAAAACCAATCTGCAAGCGATCTCACTAATGTTTCCTTTATAGTGGAAATCGAAGATGCAGAAAAAGAACAGCTTAGAAGAAAAGCAAAAATTGCTTGTCAATCGGAGCACAAGATGTTCCAAATACATCAAAGCACTGTTGAGGCACCGCTGGGCACAACTTCGAACATACAATAACTAGAGTCGGTGTATAATGAGTCACGCCAAGAGTGAAGCCAAGTCTACCTATTGAACTGTCAAAGCGGCTACCTATCGTGCAAAGTAAATAAACATTACGATGCTATGAAAGGTTCACGAAAGGTATTGCAATAAAATATAAAAAATATAATCGAAGAAATGAGCATAAACACGCAGTGAGCGTTAAATTGTCATGGGATACGCTCGGTAATGATTAGTAATGAGAATTTCTACTATTTTTTGTTAAGATAATTTGACAAAATCACTGATATAATGATTTACTACAGCCGCAGTATTTTATCTCTCGCTAGAAGTCATTTGAAGTTGTTGTAGAAGTCCTCTGTTGCCAAGTGAAAAGAATTGGAATCTTTCGAAAACCGTGATGCGAGTTCAGCTGTTTTTCTCTTGGCGTGACTCATTATACACCGACTCTAACAATAACAACCCTGCCGTCGAAAATAGAGCGTATTGACAGTAGTATAAATGTCAGAGTGCGATTCTTACCTCATCTTGAAATCCATCCGCCTGCGCCATTTTCCAGAGGGTCCTTTCGGCAACCTGATATTCTTCCCTTGTCAGCGACTTTTCAACTGTTGACAATTTTTTTTAGCACCAAGGAATCAACTTTGTCGCCGCGAGTAAGGAGGTAATGAAGAATATTCTAACAAATTGCTGCGAAGCATATACTGATGCAAGGACTAAATGGAGCTTTAATCCACCGTCCGCGCCTCACATGGGAGGGGCATGGGAGCGTTTAGTACATTCCACGAAGCAGGCGATGTCAGCTTTAGATGATGGTCGACGACTAACGGACGAGATTTTGTTGACTGTCTTGGCTGAGGCGGAAGATGTTACCAATTCGAGACCGTTGACATATGTTCCACAAGCGTCGGCTGAAGGAGAGGCTTTATCACCAAACCACTTTCTACGAGGATATCCATCGAGCGGTGCGGAAGGTTATCCTGTAGCAGCAAACTAAGCAGCAGCTTTGCGTGATCAGTACTCACGGTCTCAATAGTTGGCGAAAGCGTTTTGGCAAAGTTGGATATTAGAATATCTGCCATTGATCAACAAACGGAGCAAATGGAAGGAGGAACGAGAACCGATCGAGAAAGAAGAAGTAGTCTACTTCGAGGTCTACTTAGCCGACGACAACAACCGTCGAAACTGGTTACGAGGAATCGTGGTGGAAGTCATCAAAGGAGTAGATGGTCGTATTAGACAAGCAGTTCAAGACCAACAATTGAAATGGTCCTTACTCCATTTTGTAAACAAACCTTGTAAGGCCATTTTCTCGCGAACCAAAACCTTCATCCGCAAACCTAAACCACAATCGGTAGAGGAGAATTTTCCCTACCTTTTCATTATGTTGGTTTGCCTCTGCGGACTTCGGTTCGCGAGAAAATGGCCTTACAAGGTTTGTTTACAAAATGGTGTTAAGGCCAATTAAAATTGTTGGTCTTGACTACACTACTAAGGGAACATATCGACGGTCGGTGGCGAAGTTGGCGGTACCAGAAATTAGAAGCTGTTGAGGCACCGCTTGGCACAACTTCGAACATACAATAACAACCCTGCCGTCGAAATTAGAGCGTATTGTCAGTAGTATATGATAAAGTGAATTGGTTGAAATTGAAATTAAAACATTGTATTAACTCCTATAATTTATTATTAGCTACGTGAAACCAAGTAAGGTCGGGAGGTTAAGTGCTGGTGTAGTAGTTGGTAATACCGTGGACTACTCATGTGAGTAATCTGATAATGTATATAGGGGAAATGGCTCTAATGTTGGCCTATGGATCTAAGGTCGGTACTAATGGATATTTTTGGTGCTATTGAAAATTTAGTCGATTGCTGAATACAGGCATAACATTTGATAACGACACAAAAGCATTTGTAAACAAACTTTCTAAGGCCCTTTACACGCGAACCAAAGTACGCCCACGCAAACCAATACCACTTTCGGAAAGGTGATAGTTGTCCCTATCCGATGATGTTGTTGGTTTGCGTTGGCGTACTTTGGTTCGCGTGTAAAGCACAGAGAACAGACGTTCAAGCTCGGTCAGAAACTTGTGTAAAATAAGTGGGAACGTCGCCGTTACGTGGTGTTAGCATCTCCTGACTTTCTCTATAAATTTTCCACTTTCGACCAATTTGGCGCTAGTATCGATAAATTTTCTGTTGAAAATTTCCGCT